CAGTATAGAGATCTCTGATCTAGACTCTTTGGAGAATTCCAATAATCTTTTGGAATATGGCGTGGCATCCAAACGGAAGCACAATCTATTCAGGGAGCTTGTTCCCCCGATCCTCATTCTCGCGACAGAAGCTTCATACACTATTTTGATTAATGGCTTGAGTCTCACTTGTGTGTTCGATCCTGGAATAAGATCCTATGCTTCAATAGTAGAGCCTCAGCTGGCTTTCCACTCTATTTCGCAAGGCTTCCCAGCCTTCACAATCGAACAAAAGGTTGGACCTCTCATGTCATGGGTTCAGTATTTCTTAAAGCTATTATTACTTAATATTTGTGTTAACGTAGCCCATGAAGATGAAGCCCAATACAGGTTATTTTTTATTGTTGGAATCCAATGCTCCAATCGTCTATGGATGGGGAAAATTGGCCAGTCTCTTGAAGGGTTGCCAGAACTTGCTGCGGTAATCGATGACCTCCTCGCCGCATTGTCACTAGGCCGTCTCCGTCGGGAATTTGTTGTTAGAGGTCAAGGGCGGGATTCGTTTTTCATCCATGGATCAAAGACGTCTAACATCCAAGAATATAATGGGATTTTGGAGCTTGATTTTTTCATCAACCTTCAAACCTTAACTGGTGGGCTCGCTGATTTCTTTAGTCGCATGTCTTTTATAGCCATGGAATTCACGATTTGGACTCATAATAAGATCCTTTTCTCCATTGTTTTCATCCTCTTTGATTATCACGGGTCGACACACAATCAGAGCACTGTTTGGGGATTGGTTTTGATCCTGGTATTGCACTTAATATTTCTAAGCCTTATTTGATTCGGGACATATTAGAGGTCATGCGACAGATTCTTAATAGCTTCTCTGCACCTTTTCTAGATGTTAGTGGCTACCTATTAAAGCTCCTGGCTCATAAATTTGGTGACAACTGCAATTTTAGCTTTGGCAGTAACATGACGGTTCAGGTCTTGTCGCTCTATGCCTTCACTGTCTATGTTATACACTCTGATTGGCGACTCACCATTGATGATTGCTATCATAATTGTTCCAAGATGCATGCAAACTGTTCATCCTTTTATTACTCCAAAATTTTTTTCCCATCTGCTGGTATTGCAATGCTGTTACTATTTTATATTTTGGGGTTTGATCCTAGAGATGCTAAGGGTAATTGGTCTTCAAAGGAAGCTGGTGTATATGATCGATTTTCATGCTGGAATAGTAGTTTTCCTGGTGCTTCTCCTTCAATAAAATTGATAAATAAGTGTGCATTTACTTTATGTGTTGGGTATTGTATAACCCATAGTACTATTAAGTATGAGTATAAGGTGCTTGACCAGATGACTGAAAGAAAAAAAGATGTGTCTTCTTGGTTTGAGATCATTGAAGCAAGTGCCGTCACTATTGATTCAATTTTCCCGCAAGGGCATTGGTTCTTAAATACAAGGAGTTTCAACTTGGAGATAGGACTCACTTTGTATAACTTGTCAAGAATGCCCCTCCATGGGCTGGAGTTATTCGAGTTCCTGATCCTTGCATCTTTTATTGCCATTATCGAAGCTTTGCCGCATGACATCCCGCAAGTGATTCCTCTGACAATTGCTAAGATTTTCTCTCAATCATGGTGCAATGCTGTAACTTTTATATTGGATATCATTCTCTTTGTACTTTGCACCCATAGCATAATATCATGCGACCTTGAGGACAAGGTCATTTTTAAGGGGGAGGAAATGTAACAACTCAATACGAGGATATTCATAAGAAAGGCCACGTGTCAAGAAAATGGAAAAGGGAATGTGTTTATCATGAGGACGTTGCAAATGTGGGAGTGAGTAGTGTAGAGGTGGTTACACTATATTAAGGGAGAGGTGAAATGAGAATGGGGTGTGGATGATTTGGATGATCTTTTCTCTGGTCCCATTCTTCGGGAATCTTCTCTCTGTGACTCTCTTCTTCTTCTTCTTCTTCCCTCTTCCTTGTGTCTCGTCCCTCTATTTCCCTTTTAATTCATTTTACAGTGTTCTTTCAATGTATTTTCAGATGCCTGTAATTGTTACAAATTAGATTGAATCTTAAATACATACTTGTTATTCCGTTGTGCTGAGATATTACGATTTAGATCGTTACAGGAGGATTTGGCTATGAAGTTGCTCAACAGTGACCTGAACCAAGAAAAATACAATCTCTATGACAAAGCAAGACGGCACTATGCACAAGTTGAACAGCAAGATGGCAATAAAAGATTACGAATTGACAGAGTGAATAGACAAGATCGTTTAGAAGAATGTATGAGTATCAGCATACAGAATTTATATCCACCTCCATTTATTTGTCATTTATGAATTTGTTGAAGTTTTTAAACTCTTAAAAATTTTCATAACTTTTTTTTGCCAAAAAAATTGTCATAACCTTAAAAAATTACTCTCATCAAATTGTAACCTTCTCTCATATTTTCGTCTTGGCCACTCTCTTCTCCATAACTTTTTGATTATTTAATGAGGGAAAAGTGCGGAAAAATACTTAATGCCGCCTAAATTTTTTGGTGACTTACATTTTGAATTCTTGAAATCTTCCAAAATGTGATTTCCGCATAGGGACGGACAGAGTATATATACAACTGCTTAAAATTTGAATGCCATATTATCTAATTTAATTTTTTTACTTTTCTCACTATCTTTACTTAATTATTTATTACTATTTTTGTTGCTAGAATCTTCCAAAGATTATATATTGCCTACAACAGTTTTGATAGGGTGGACGTTTCGAATTTATACTAAACAAATATGGGAGTGAATAATGGATGACAAGGTGTCAGCAATTGGCGTTTGGGGAATGGGGGTTCAGGAAAAACAGCCTTGGCAACCCATATTCATGATAAGCTTTTAGAAGAAGCCAATGGTGACATTAAAGTTATTTGGGTGACTGTATCACAAAATATTGACATCTACAAGTTGCAAAAAGTCATAGGGAAATCAATTAAATTGGATATATCTAATGAGCCTCGTAAAAGAATTGCCAGAAAATTATTTCAAGCATTCAAAGAGATGAAGAAGTGTGTTATTATTTTAGATGATGTTTGGGATCATTTCTCTCTAAAGGACGTTGGATTTCCCATGTTAGATAATCGAATCAAACTGATTTTGACCACTCGCATTAGGGAGGTGTGTCAAGACATGGACTGTGAGAAGGTAATAAAAGTGGAACCTTTAGTTATAGACGATTGCTGGGATTTGCTTGAAAAGTTTTGGGATCCCATGAAGAATTGTCTTTGGAAGTGAAGGGCATTGCATGGCAAGTGGTACAGGAATGTGAGGATTTGCCCCTTGCTATTGTTAGAATCGCAACAAGCATGAAGGGGAAAACGCAGGTTAGAGAATGGAGTCATATGTTGAAATGTCTTAAAAACTTGGGCAATGGGCAATATGAAATGGACAAATGAGTATTTCCAGTTTTGAGATCTAGCTATGATTTCTTAACTAACAAATTGCAAAGATTCTTCTTGTATTGTGTCTTCAATATCGCTGGTCCTTTTTGGGATGAAGATGCTGATCATTTGATAAGAAGGTTTGTTTATGAAAGCATTGATGAGACAACGGAGTTGAGTGTGCAGTATGACGAAGGTTACAACATGATGCATAAATTAAAGAATCACAGCATGTTGGATTATGATGATAATAATTATTACTGGATGACACAAAAATTTCTTGCAGTCCTGGCTACTGGTATTGCAGAAGACACTGGTAAAATTATGGGAAAAGCTTGTAAGAATTTGACGGAAATACCAAGTGATGACCAATGGAAAGAAGATCTACAACAAGTTTTTCTAATGGGAAACAAGATACAAACAATTCCAAATGGCATATCTCCTAAATGTACTCAACTTTCGACGTTGCTTTTGAATGATAATGTAAAACTCAACCACATCACGGATGAGTTTTTCAACAACATGCCCGCTCTTAAAACACTTGATTTGTCTAAGACTGCAATTCAGCGTTTGCCTGAATCGGTATCCAACCTAAAATGTCACATTGCATTGTTACTTTCAGGATGTAGGCAATTGAGGTACATTCCTTCATTAGGAAAATTGAAACGGTTAATATCACTGGATCTATCTTGTACTGCCATCGCTGAGGCACCTGCGGGTTTGGAATCATTGGTCAATCTTAAATGCCTGAATCTACTCGAGGTTGATAAGTTGGTAATATCACCATCGCTCATATCCAAGTTGATCAATTTAAAGTGTCTTGAGTTGGGTTGGGCCCAATGCTTAACGGATGCAACAGCACAAAGTGTACAAGGTTTGGAAAAGTTGGAAGTTATATGTGCCTACTTTCATGACATTAGCATCTTCAATACCTTCATGAGGTTTGTGGCCGAAAATCGTGAAATCAGAAGTTATCGATTAACTTTATGCCATGAAATTTATAATTTTTTTGATGATGATGATGAGAAAATAAACACAGAATATTCTTGATGGTACGAATTTCAAAAATAGAGAAGCAGTAGTACTCCCAAGAGACATCAAGAAGTTGTTTGTAACAGCGTGTTTCCTAGGGACAGGTGGTAGATCCCTATGCAATATTTTATCACATGCCCACAACAATAATCCAACCCAAATTGAACTGTTGGCAATTAGCAACTGTGAAGATGTGGAGTGCTTGTGCTGTTGCAGTTGCCGCTTTTGCTTCTCTTCCCAACCTGTTGGACGTCTACACCTCTGGGAAATGAACAACTTGAAAGACTTGGTGTCACCATCTGCTTGTTTCTTGCATCAATCCACCCTATTTGCTCATCTCACACTTCTCCGAATTTGGAAATGTAACAGCATAAAGACTCTGATGCCGTTTAGGTTATTAGCACTCCTCCAAAACCTGCGCACCATTTGCGTTGAAAGGTGTGAGCAGATGAAAAAAATAGTTGGAGAGGATCATTCTGTAATGGAACTTACTGCTAGTGGTGACCTCGTGGCCCTCCCTTGACATCTCTGAACTTAGAGGATATGATAGAATTAGATTTCGTGTACGGAGGCATCATGCTCTGCCCTTCTCTCCGAGCATTCTCTGCTTCTTCTTGCAAGAAACTAAATCCCCCTCAGATAGCGATCTCAAATAATGGAAGTGTGCTTCCGATGCAGAAGTTCTCATTTGGTAGATACTATTGGGGAAAGTGATTAATCAGGTCCATATCTGCCCCACTCTGACTTACTTGTATAATATGCTTATGATGAATATCGTTACTGTTTGTGTTTATTTCTTCTCGTGCTTCAAATGATCATTCATATGCTTCCTTTTGTTTTTTTATTTCTCTCCATCTGCCCGCGTTGTACTTGATTTTTGTGATCGTCACTAACCTTGCACGCTCATATCAGTTTCTGAATGCCTGCCAATAAAAACAATTAATGTTCCAATAATTGGCATTTTGTTTGTTATAAATTACTACATCGAATACCATAAACAAATCTCAACAAAGGGAAGCCAATTTGTAGGATATACAACCTCATCAGCTCTTAATTTTTTTTTTCTCATTTGAATGTTCGAAGTGTGCACCAGTGCTACTACTCAATCCGGGATATTAATCATTGTGAATATATCTCATCTCCTAAATTGCTCATGATATTTTCAATTATTCATTCAGTCAAATATAGTTGCAAAGTTGTTTGTGGCATGTGTCTCGATTATCCTAATTCTTTTTTGTAATGTCATATGCAGGATACGGTTTTTGCTGCATAGGACGCTGAAAGTGATGAGTTAAGCTATCATTTAAGAACTTCTTTTGATTCTATATTTATATTGTTTGCCTCTATATTTGTTCAACTACACTATTTTAGTCGGTACATTTATGATGAAACTAAGTTTGTAATGCAACTACTTGCTTGTTTTAACTAAACTATTTGTTGGAAGAATGACACGAACACTTATTATTGAACTCAAGATGAATTACATAGGCAAATTTACATATAAACTCTGAATATGGGACTTCTTTATGAATAAAACCTTGCAAATCTTACTAAAATACTTTCAATTATCTTAAAATTGGTTGCCCTTAGTTTCTACCCGTAGGGCAACATTTTGGAGAGTGATTTGTTTCTACTTATAAGACAAATTAGAAAAGTTGAGAATTATTTAGTACTTTTTTTTTTAATTATTAGTGACCTGAGGGAGAAAGTGTGGCTCATTATAAAGGTCTATATATCATAATTACAATGATTCCGTATTTTTCTAATTTATCTCTTTACAAATTAAAATACCTCAATCTAATAGGTGCGCTGTTAGTTGACTGGGAAAATATATCTTTAATATTATCATTTTTATCTTTGACCAAAAAAAATATTATCATTTTTATCATTTTAAAGACAGTAATTTTTTTTTATTTTTGTTGTTGTTTTTTTATTATGTACTGTTATATTTGAAATGAAACCATTTATCAATTCTCGTTAAATTGTCAACGTTCTTGTTTAAGTGAAATCATTATAATTTTATATGCAGTAGATTGTACATAATTTTCAACGTTTTAAAAAATAAGTATTCCAGTTACAAATAAAAATTGATTGTAAACTTTTAAAATGTTTTGGTCACAAATTTACGAAAATGCACACGGCATATCTGTTCTTCTTGTTTTTTTTTTATCTGAGCATATCTGTTCATCAAGATGCTACATGTTAACTATGAATGCCAGCCATACAGTACAAATATTTCGTCATCATGAATCAAAAAGCTCACTTCGAGGAAAAATCATATTGTACTTGTAGTTGAATTATTTTCAAAATTAATGTTTAAACTTTAATCAAACTTGGAAAAAAAAAAAAACGAAAGATGCCATATGAATGGCAACAGAAGGAAAGAAACAAAATTCACCTCTTTTGAGAATAATGTTGTGACAAGAACTGACGATTAATTATAATTATAAATGGATAAATAAACAGCAGTGTTTTATTTAAATAATATGTTTCATGTAAAATTGGAAAACAGGCATGAGAACATCCAAATTATTTAAAGAAAACAGGCACACACCAGCACTCCATGTGTGACTCTGTTTCCATCACGCCTGCATTGTCTTCACTTTATATAGCAAACCAAATTATCTAATTCAACATAAGTCAACATGTTGAAGACGACAAATCAATCACACATCGAAAGGCAATATTGAGTTCTCATCAGTTCCTATTTTAGTAGCTGCCGGCACCATGAGAGACAGAGATCTTTCTTCTTATCGCTTGTTAACTGATTTCTACAGTGTACATATATATTGCCATTGCTTGCTTGTGAAGTAGCAGAGAGTTAAGCTTGTGAATTGAAGGAAGAGAGATTTGAGAGAGAGAGAGAAGGGATATGGAAGGAAGTAAAGGTGGTGAAGTGAGAAGGATTCATATAGTGTACTTCCTCAGTTTGATGGGTCGTTCTGAAGAACCACATCTTATACGTATTCACCATCTGGTTCGTAACAGGGTCTATCTTCGAGGTGGCTTCATTTCCCTGTTTCTTTCACCGCATATTTGTTAGACTTGAGAAAGTTGCTCTCACTTTTGACCTCTGTACTTGGTACTCCTCCGGTCCTTAATATAAAACTCAATTGTTGAGTTGGTTTTGGTCCTAAATATAAGATCCATTTATCATATTTATCAATTTTCTCTAAATTACCTCTATAGATATTCCCTCAACTATAATTAAGTAAAAGAAGGAGAGGAGGTATTAAGAAAGATGGCTATGGTATTTTAGAAAAAATGTGTCACATTTCTTATAATTAACTAACTTACCTAACTTTTTTAATCTAATCAAATTAGTTAAATGAGTCTTATATTAAGGACCGGAGGAGTACTTTGTTTCTCACTTGCACGTCATAATTTGTTGATTCTCACCTCTAATGTTATACGTTTCTCTCTTCTTTCTTTTAATACTCTGTTTCTTTAAGGTTTTAGAGTTGTCTTTAAAACATGAAAAACCACATTATTAAGTTTTTTTTTTTGTACGTAAGGATTTAGTTAAAACAATAGATAACAATTACGGTTTATGTGATGGTTGGTTTACAAATTACAAGCTCCTCTGTCTTTCTGTGTCGTGGCCTGTTCTCGCTTTTAGAGGTCATGATTTATGAACTTTGTTTATGTGATCAAAGATGTGAAGAGATGGATTGGAGAAGTGAGAGGAAGGATTTGACAGAGACATATGCATGGTCCTACAAAAGGTATAATGAATGGCATCTTTATACTCTGTTTTTTTATTTTTTTTTGAATGAGTTGAGGTGTGCGATTTGTGGATTCGAATTTTAAGCAGGAGATACAAGACAGGTTACGTGTGGCAAGACTTGTTAGATGATGATCTCATTACTCCAATCTCTGATAATGAATACGTCCTTAAAGGATCTCAAACACACCCTCCCTCTTTTGGTATGTCCTTCAAATGAAATAATGGAGTGTTGTCATTTGGAAATAATTTTCAAAATGAGTTATGTAAGTATTTGTTGAGAAGACTCTTTGATTATGCAGAAACTTTTATATTTGGTGAAAGGAAAGCTTCCATATTGGACAAGGAGATTCACGTTCAAGTGCATGATACAGAAGGCAAACAGTTGAAGCAGAAGCAACCATTGATATCGGAAGAACTTCAACTTGAAAGATTTCCATATTTCAAACCAAATTCTCTGGATCAGGTACTATCAGAAATAAGCTCTGATGGGTCCACATTACCAGATGAAAGTGAATCCTGTAAAGTTGAACCAGACAAACTCGTGGACACAGGCAAACACAACCCAGAGACATCATTTTCAATTTCATTATCATCTTCTTCTTCATCATTATCCCCCTTGAAAGGAAGTAAGAGATTTTCAACAGGAGCTTCTGGTTTGTTTCGCAGCTTGATCACCTGTGGAGCCTTAGATCCAAACGACGACGTTGTGGTCATGCTGAACCAAGCTCATAAAACTGTTTCGAAGAACTCTAACACCCTCGATGATGGTAATGTTAACGCACAAATTCGCAAACATAATAGATTTGGAGGATCAGCTAGGAATCTTGGAAGTTGTTGGAATCCCCAGCAGGAGCATGATGAAGCCAGGTAAGTAAATGAGAAATTGGGCCCAGAAAATTTCAAGTTACAAATTATGACAAAAATCAAAGTTTTTCTTCATAACATGAGCTTTCATATTTGCAGAAAAAGCTGTGATGAGAAGAGCACAAACAAGAACAAGAAGAAGCTAGGCGAGTTTCTGAATCAGATTTCTCACAAACCATTTGGAGGGTCAATTTTCTCTAGATGAGAAGAGCCAGAAAATATTAAAAAAAATACGTTGTAGGGAAGAAAAACAGGGCGTGTTTGGAACCAAAAAGCCCATCAGGGTGAAAGATCCATTTTATACAGATTTCAAGTTCTATGTAGTCATGCAATTTGAAAAAAAATGTCGAAATGATAATTCTTTTTGACCTCATCAGATTCCACGAGCACTATCCCATTAATGACTTATTTTATTTCATGTTATTTGTTACTTGTTAATTAAACTAAATTAAGAATTTCAATCTATCTTCGGCCTCTACTTTTGATTTGTAGCTACAATTCTTCTGCCCGCCACCAATTTTGGGGCTGGGCCTTTTTAAAAAAATTTAAAATTAAATTCCAGTCATAATCTAAAATTTCATAACCCATATTAATTAATTCAACCTTTAAAAATCGTTATATATACTACACTTGTAGTCTTGTGGTCAAACTTTTTTTGTTTTTAAGGAATTCATTCTCATCACCATGAGAGCGTTGAAGCTTAAGCTTACCTCCTCGACTTTTCCTAGTATGAATTATGCAGAATTAATGGTTGCTTCTATATTCAGAACATTGATTCATCTCCTATCATTATTTACCATTAATTCTTTTATAAAAAGACAATTATATGCATCAAATAAAAAGATATTACAACACAGAGTGTATATAGGGACAAAACATAAGAAGAAAATAAGTTCATAAATTGAGGTTTGGTGAGTCTTTTATTCACATCCCAACTGAAGATAATTTGTCATTAATTCTTTGATGAGTCTTTTGAACTTGTATTTACATTACAGACAAAGGTGCCAGTGCCATAGCTTCTTGTCTTTGGTTGTGGGCGTGTTTGGGACCATATTTAGAGGCCCAAACTGACTTCCCAACTAGCAAAAAGCGTTTTTTGGATTTGGAGTGTATTTGGAATCATATTTTTACAATTCAACTTATGTGTGCAAATAGACTTTTAAAGAGAAGCTCCTTTTTATTGCTTTCACCGGTGCCTCCAAAAAAGCTGTTGGAGCATTAATGGTAATTTAAAATTTTCACCTATTCATCGTATATTCGATTTGGCAGTCTGCATGGATTTATTTTTACCTGGGAAGTCTGAAAAACGAGAAGGACAACATGGGCGCAGCTCGGAAGTCTGAAAAATATTCAGTTGGGACCATCAAAGTAATTTATATATATCTATTAAATATATTTAATTAAATATTTTAGTATTTTTTTCAATTTCTTCCTAACAATATATTAAATTTCTTTATTTTTAATAATTTTATTTTCAATACTTCTTTTAAAATTGTCACATTATATATATAATATTAGATATATTTTACTTAGTAAAATTCATGTTCTTTTTAATCATTTGCATCTAAACTTACATTTTTATTAATCATCCAAACAAATTTTTGCTTCTCAAACTGATTTTTTTTACAAAACTCAATCCAAACAATGTTAAAGGTAGTCCTCATAGTAACTGCCAATATTAAATGTTTCATCAAATGATAATTCTAACTAATACCCATGATTAACAAGGGTATTTTAGAGAAGACAATATCTATTTATTATAAATAACTAACTTAACTAATTTTTTTAATCTATTTAAATTAGTCAACTAACTTTTATATTAAATATGAAAGATACTATTTAGGACCAGAAATAATAGGAAGAGGAAAGGAAAATGAAGAAAGAGTCAAAGTTTAACGCACATTACCCAAAATAGGCAGTCCGCTGAACTGAAACTGACCACTCAAGCTGAAGACAAGAGAGAATCAAACGTAACCACAACCTAAACTTACTAAGATCCACGACACTGCCATCTAACCAAAATTGATTCAACCAATTCGTTTGATTGAATTGACTACATTAAATTGATGAATACTAGTATTTAGAAACCGAATTTCATTATTTATTTATTTTGTTTTCAACCCATCAGTTTTGACGTCATATATTATCTTCTCGAGCGTGTATTCATTTTCAAACAATATATTGGATTGCGGAGGTAAGAAAACTATTAATTGATTTAATTCCAAGAATAAGTGATATTTTTTCATTAGTATTTTTTACAAACTCCTACTCATTGGTATGACAGTATAATTACTCAGCCTCAGGTAGTCGTTGCCTGTCATTACTGTCGTATCCCCATTTTCATAAAGTTCCAACTAATAGCGACAACCGCACTATCCTTCGATGATATTGATTTTAATATCTTAGATAGTATATCGTGTCGTATTTCATTTTCATAACTCAGTGTGTGTGTCTAATTGTATATCTAAATATACATATATATATATATATATATATAGAAAAATCATTATATGTTACCCAAACTTAGATGATTTTTTTGGGGGTTGAGAGATGACTTTGTAACATATTATAGGCCAAAACCAGCTGTCACGAAGGAAAATGGAATTAAAAGGACTGTTAGGGTAAGGCCGCAAGGGTGAGATTGCTCCGTTTTTATTATATTGGGACAAGATTATACCAATAAATATTTTAGGGTACTGAGTCCATATTCAAAAATAATTGAGAGTGTGCTGGTGCATCTTTACTCTTATTTTAATCATTTTTTTAAGAAATATGTGCTTCTTTGATGGCAAAAAAAAAAAAAAAAAAGAGTACGTGCTTATTTAATCCCTATGAAAATACCTCAATTAATTCACACATCCAATAACAATTAAAAGCATTAAAACAAACAGAGTTTGGGTCTAACAGAAAAGACTAGTCTTCTACAACGTGAAGAACTAAGATTTGAATCCCTACTGGAAGATGTGCCTACCTTTAGTACTTGATAATGCCTCGAACAGGATTGTCTCCAATAGAATGATACATGTCCTTACAAAAAAAACCATTAAATTTGTTATAAAATTCAAGTGGTTTCCAATATTACTTTAATTATTTTTTTTTTGCTTGAATATTACTCTAATTAATTATACTAAATTTTAACATCACATTAATTTCGTACAGAGAGAATGAAAAATTGTCCCTTCTAAGATAGGATGAAAAATTTCTTCTAAAAGGCTTCTTGTAAAAAGGACTTTTCTGACAATTCTCCCTAGCTCATCAATAAACGACCCCACTCTTCCCGTCTCTCTTTAATTTCCCCGACCTCCCCTCCACACTCTCTTCATCCCCTTCCCCCTTTTCCCTTCATCTCCCTCTTATTTGTATTCTTTGGCGTATGCCATTACTCAAATAAAGTCCATGTTATCTTTTTCGTAGTACATAATACTTTACTTATATTTCCATTTAATTGAAAAAATAGAATTAAAAGGTAAATATCTATATTTATTCTATTTTTACCTTCATATTTCATCATGCTCTTGATTTTTTTTTTCATAATATCTACATATATTTAATTCTATCTTTTTCATATTAAAGATATTTACCTTTAAAGTCCATTTTTATACAATTAAATGAAAAGGTAAATAAAATATTGTGAATAAAAAAAATCAACTTGAAATTTATCTGGGGTAATGGCACACATAAAAAATACGAGAGACAGAGAAATGGCAGGGTAAGGGGAAGAGAGAGCGGCGTGGGGTAAAATTAAAAAGAGATGGGTGGAGTGGAGTCGTTAATTGATGAGGGAGGGAGAGTTATTAAAAATGAAAGAAGTATTATTAAAAACTTTTAATTAATTTTTCTTGCACGCTCTCATTATCAAAATTTTATAACCTCGTTCCTTTAATTTTTGAGAGAATTATCAAAAGGTCTCAAAGAAAAAATTTAATTATTAAAAAATCTTAAACCAACCTGAACCTATTGTCATATCCTACTCTAAAACTTGTCATTACATGCTTTTTACTTATTAATAGACTTTAGAGTAATTAAATCCCTTTCTTAGGATCTGATTATAATTCTCCCTTAATTTTTCTGGTTTGTGTGTATATATACACGCATGCTCACGGATGCACGAGCACGAGCCATGAACTGAACCTACTGAGAGAGACCAAAGAGTTTTGGTATCCCTGCGACATTCACTTGCCAAACAATGAATCCTTACCTGATGAGGTCCCTCCCCTCAGTTTCTGCACCTCAAAACTCATCATCATCCTATAAGAGTCGCCCTGCGATTCCTCAATCCTTACTCCCCTGTCATTATGTTTCTGCCACCGGTATTCTTAACTTCGAATATCGTCAAAAACGCATTCAGAAGAGTCGTGGGGTTGTCTGGAGCCAGAATAACAGTGAAAGCTGTGGCAGAAACCTCAGTATTATTACTGGTGTTCTTGAGAAGCCAAGAGAGAGTCTGGTTGATGAAGGAAACAGAAAGACGACGTCTTTCATTATGCCTTCAGAAATCAAACCCTTTCAAGGTGGTATTGGCATCGTCAACTTTTTTAAAGGCAAGAACTTCCTCATCACTGGTGCAACAGGGTTCGTGGCCAAAGGTAATACTGTTTCACTTTCTTTTCCCTGCATGAAATTTCCCAGGAAAAGTCAGGTGCGTTTCCTTGAAATTAGTTTTAGGCCTGATGCGTGACTACTCCTCGTATATATACCTATTTTCTTATCTGTTATAGAACACCACTCATCAGGATCATGTCGGGAAGTCACGCCTCTGATACTCCACTCTCTAATTTAAGAGTATTTTTCTTTGAAATATCGTAAAAAAAAAAAAAAAAAATAGAACTACACAACTTCATGCTTGTAAGATATTAAAATGTAACTCATCTCATAGGAAAAGGGGGAAAAAAAACATACTTTGGAGATTCTGACATTATCAAAGGCATTCGAGAGTAGGACATTAGAGGCCCTTTGACCAATGGGGTCATGGTTTGTGTTGTATTAATTTAGATAGTGACTAATACAATTAACACAGAGAAGCATTCCAAATTTGCAGTTATTGTGGAGAAGATCTTAAGGATGGTTCCAGAAACTGGAAAGATTTTTGTGTTGATCAAGGCAAAAGACAAGGAAGAAGCTATGGAAAGACTCAAAGCTGAAGTGAGTTTTTTCCCTTATATAACACAATCACTTGCAGATACTAATTAACATGCATATTGTGATGAACGTGCAGATCATAGAATGTGAAGTTTTCAAGAAAATCAAAGAGGGTCATGGAGAAAATTATGTGGAGTTCATGATGAGGAAGCTGATCCCAGTGGCTGGGACAGTGTGTGAAGCTGATTTGGAGATGGATGCCAACACTGCAAATGATATTGCAAACCAAGTTCATGTGGTGGTCAACTCTGCGGCCACCACCTCCTTCGATGAGAGGTTAGTCATCATATATTACTCTGATATGGTCTATATGTTAGTTATTTACAAGTGATTCTCACATGCATATCAAGAAAGGAAAAAAAAAACATTAGACTGATAAATTTGTCCACGTTTGCCCTTATTAAAGAATGTTTTGCATTTTCACTCATCTATTTTCTTTGGTTTATTGTATTCACATGGCTAGAATTGAAAAAGATCATTATCATCATACAAATGACTTACATTTAGAACCAAACTTTTCTCATGCAAATAACTCAACTAGTAGTATTTTAGTTACACACGTGAATTTATGACATCAATACAATCATATTGGTGGCGTTTTTAATATCAAAAGCCTATTTAAAGTTGTTCTGATTAACTTCTCATGGATGTGACTTCTATCCATGTGAAGTTTGACACATACCTATCCATACAAACCAGCCTGAGTGTGTATAAATAATTTTATTTCTTTCTTCATTTTTGGGTTGATTGATATTAATTAGCTACAGTGGTCATAAAATGAAATTTTCCCTATATTTAATGAGTAATTGCTCTTTCCAATGAGATGGTTAGAAGTATCCCATTTTGATTTATAATATAAGTCACTTTCAACTAATTCATCAAAATCCAAAAATATAGTTAATTAGTTAAATCTTTCGTACTAAATTGTCAAAAGTTGAGGATTTGAAAGAGGGAGAGAGAACTGTGAAAAATACAGTCCTATTTAAACAAGAATTGCGGGAGTAAAATTGATAAATAAGAAATAATTATTTTGAAAGTGATGACTTATGTATACAGTGAACCCAAAAAATCCTTCCAAAAATGCCTTATATATTCTGGGTCACCGGAAGGAAGTAGAAGAAATACTATTTGGAAGAAAAGCAATTAACAAAACATACCCCTACTGACATGTGAGTTGGAAATTCTCAAATCTCTGTTCTTAATCAATTCACTTTCAGGTACGATGTGGCTCTAAACACAAATACCAGAGGACCTTTTCGTCTCCTAAACTTCGCGAAGAAATGCAAGAATCTTTGTCTTTTCTTTCATATATCAACAGGTATAAGACGAGAACATACAGTAACATATAACTGATTTTCTTTTATATAAATAAGTGAACTTAAATCCAATATATGTGATATTCAGCTTATGTTGGTGATGGAGAAAGACAAGGGACAATAAGGGAGAAGCCACTTTACATCGGACAAAGAAGGGTTAGGGCAATCACAGAACAGGACATAGATTTTGAACTAAAGTTGGCATCAGAAATGCTGGATTCACTCAAACAGGATCAAGCAACTCAGAAGATGAAAGACTTGGGTATTCAGAGGTACGCACATAGGGATGTTTTTATGTACATGTTTACTTGAAAATTGGAGATCAATTTGTTTAGCTCATAATTTTTGCTTAAAAGAATATATTGATATATAAATTTACATATGTATATATTTATAAGAACAGGGCAAATATGTACGGATGGCCAAACACGTACTCATTCACAAAGGCGATGGGAGAGATGTTAATAAGCAGCTTCAGAGATGGCACACCAATGGTTATTCTTCGTCCCACTGTGATTGAAAGCTCTTACTCTGAGCCTTTCCCTGGTTGGATTCAAGGATACAGGTCCCATCCTATCTTCCCGTGCGCCATTTTCATTTTTCATTGCAGAACAGAGTTCTTGATCCACTTATATTTAATTATTCAAGACAAAACACAAGAATAAAATGATCATAATTATTTTTAGTGATTGCATTTTTCTGTGCTACCTTTCATCATATAATTTTTCTTCTTCTTTCTTTCATCATAAAACAGAGTTCTTGATCCACTTATATTTAATTATGGGAAGGGTCATCTCCCTGGATTTCTTGGAGACCCTAATGCGGTTATAGATGTGGTAAGTTTAGGTCAATTATTTTTCATTCACAAATAATAAAGGTTTAGGTTTATTATATACATGCAGGTTGATTTTACTAACAGATGTGTGCCCTAGTAAAATAGAACAGGCCTAACCCAACTCTATTTTTATTAGCTGCGTTAAATAGGACTTTGAATGCTGACTGGGTGGCAAATATATGTTTAAGCAAAAGATTAATGATTAGGTGGAATGCATGCAGATTCCAGTAGATATGGTTGCGAATGCCACAATGGCGGCAATTGCGAAACATGGGGCTGCCACAACACCAGATTTAAGTATCTACCACATTGGATCTTCTGTGGCAAACCCTATTTCATTTGGAGCTGTGTTTGATTATGCTCGTCGCCATTTCAAGTCTTTTCCATTGGCACAGTCCTCAAATGGGAATCAAAGTCTCATTCAGAAGATGAACTTCTTGAACTCTTTGGATGACTTCTCTTCTTACATTTCAATGGAAATGGCAAGGCAAACTGGATTCTTACAAGCAACAAATCTTGAACCTAATCTCCAAAAGAAGTCCACAAAGAAAGCACAGCTTTTAATTCACTTGGCTAAGCTCTATGAGCCATACATGTTTTATAAGGCATGGTATGCAAAATTCTCAGATGCGTCTAATGATACTAATGTCAAAGGAAAACCTTATCACTACTTGAGCTTCCAATCTTTATAACGTTCAGAAGTCCCAATATTTAACGTTGACTTCCCAATTGGACTTTTATCATCCTTCATAGATTTAGTTGTTCAGAGTTTTCCACTTTAACAGGAATCAATAATAAGCACACTGTACTTCCTTTACTTTATTCTTTTTTTAAGCCACTAATTATTTTCGGTTCCTATTTCTCAATACTCTAGTTACATGATTTTAAACATCTTATATTCTCAATTTACAACACAATATTCAGTTTGTAGAGGACAAGTGTTTATAGTTTGTAGAATTGAGCGTGAAGTACTGTGGTTTGGCAGGTTTGACTGTGGAAATACCCAGAGGCTATATGGAGAAATGTCAGCTGAAGAGATGAAGGACTTTGGATTTGATGTGAAAAGCATAGATTGGGAGCAATACATATCCAAAATTCATATCCCAGGTGTGAGAAAGCACCTTTTGAAGTGTTGAATTCTTCAGGAGGAAGGGCTATGTGTAATAGTAGTAATTCCATCAGTTGATATTTGATATTCATCAACTACTATCATGTATTTAATTATATTGCTTATTTCGATGTTCTGCTTGTCGATCGATCAGTGTACGTATGATGTAGAAGAAACAATATGTTTTGATTTCGTTAATTACTATTAAATGATCACTCATTCCTGCTTTTCTTTGTTACTTGATAAAGGGAATCGCTTTCTGCGGTTGTAAATTGTAATCAACATCTTACCGAGTGTATATGAAATATTATTAAGAATTCCTCTCAAGTTTGTATTGAATTTTCTTTTTACACTAATAGTACACTTAAAAATTCCTGGAAAAATTTGGACCGCCCTAATTTGCGGTAAAAGATCAGAGAACTCCATAGGGAATTATACATACTCGATCTTGTTAACATTCGCAGAAACATCCCTGGGACATTAAATTATACGAACGCTCTCTAACTCTCCTTTAACTTTTGTCTATTTTTCATCTTGAAATTAAACACATCTTCCATGTATTTCAACGTCTGCGGCTTCCCTTTTTTCAATGTCAGCTGATCTTTGATTGCAATTTCGGCATTTGGAAAGGGAAGGAACTGGGATTCCCATGATCGTACGGAATTCGGTTTGGGGGATCTCCGATCTGACACCATGTGAAGTGAAATTTGGAGTGAAAACTATATTTTATTATTCACAAATCACAAGGGACAGATATATATGCAAGAGCACGTATATCTCATATCTTAATCATACAATCTTTTCTCTCTCCACAATATTCTTTCATATCCCTCCATATCAGCTCGCCTCTCTCAGTATCTAATGATATCGTATCTCAACCTCTAACAAGTAATAACTATGTAAATGTCTCACAGACACACATTTTGCTACTTTATATATAATACTTAATTAGTCTGTACGTGTAACGTACGAGCACGAGCCATGTACTGAACCTACTGAAAGAAACCAAAGAGTTTTGATATCTCTACAGCATTCACTTCAAAACAATGAATCCTTACTTGATCAGGTCCCTCTTCTCAGCTTCTGCACCTTAAAACTCTTATAAAGTCACCCTGAGATTCTTCAAACCTTATTCCCATCGTACGATTAATGTTCGACCAAAAGTACTCTTAACTTTCAGTATCAAAGGCGCATTCAGATTGAAAGGTTGAAGAAGAGTTGTGGTGTTGTTTGTAGCCAGAACATCAGCGAAAGCTATGGCGGAAACCTCAGTACTGCTGCTCCTCAGAACCCAAGAGCAAGTCTTGAAGGGTTTGTGGCCAAAGGTAATACCGTTTCATCACTTTGTTTTGTTGCATGAAATTTCCCAGAAGAAGTCAGGTGCATTTAATTCTTTGAAATTATATATGTTCAAGATATTTTCAGTCCTGATGCACGACTATTTTCTTACCTGTTATCATCACCTAAAGTTGTTACTTCATACTACCTCCTGTCTTTAATATATAAAAGCTAGTTTGACTTTCAATTGGTCCTAAATATAAGACCAAAATCTACTTTGTCTTTCATGTATATCCATTTTTTTAAGTAGTCATTGTACTAGTTACACATATTAAAGATTCTATTAAATGGTAATTCTAACTAATAGATATAATTAACAGGGGTGTTATAGGAAAGATAATACTTATTTATTACAAATAACTAATTTAATAAACTTTCTTAATCTATTCAAATTAGTCAACTAGTTTTTGTATTAAGGATTGGAGGTAGTATATCACGTGAAGAACACGTGAACACTGAAATGGTATAGAACATGCACCACTGAAGATGGTGTCATGTTCTGAGTTCTATTAGTTTAGATATAGCGAGGATTTAACACACAGAGGCATCCAAATTTGCAGTTTTTGTGGAGAAGATATTGAGGATGGTTCCAGAAACTGGAAAGGTTTTTGTGTTGATCAAGGCAAAAGACAAGGAAGCAGCTATGGAAAAACTCAAAGCTGAAGTGAGTTTTTTGCCCTTATTATATAACACAATCACTTGCAGATACTAATTAACATGGATATAACGATGAACACACAGATCATAGAATGTGAGGTGTTCAAGAAAATCAAAGAAGGTCATGGAAAAAGTTACGTGGAATTCATGATGAGGAAGCTCATCCCAGTGGTGGGGACAGTGTGAAGCTGATCTGGAGATGGATGCTCACACTGGAAATGGTATTGCAAATCAAGTTCATGTGGTCGTCATGCTCTGCAGCCACCAACTCCTTGGGTGAGAGGTTAGTCATAGTTTATATATATTTCTCTAATCCTTATTTATAAGGCACTTATAAGATATTTTATAAAAATTAAGAAAAACATTAACTCTATTAATTCTATATGTCACACTCTGGTCCTTATTATAAGTCGCTTGTAGAAAAAATTGTTTGTTCTAAATATAAATCTTGCAGGGTATTTAATGATGGCTTTTTGATTTTAGCCTCATTTAATTTTTGGTGGAAAGAGAGAAAGAAGAGAGAGGTGAGAATAATTTGTAAGCATCGAGAGGAAAAAAACTTTAATAAGAGTAAATTTAAAATTTAATGCATTTATCAGTATTTGAATATGAGTTACAAATAACTCATAATAAGGATCGAAGTGGTACTTTGATGAGAAATCCAAAAAAAAAGTTTAGAGAATAATAAATTAAAGATTAAATTATAGATTTATATTATAATAAATCTAATAAAATAACTTATATTAAAAATAAAAAATACTATACACCTCTCTGAGAATGGGAGGAAGGGTTTGTTTGGTATAAGGGAAAGGGAGGAGAGGGAAAATTTTGATTAACTCATTTTAAAAAATTGAAAAAGTGGGATTAAAATTTTTTGATTTATTTTAATTATTCTTTTATTTTACATATTCTTCTTATCAAAATTTTATAACCCCACTTCTTTAATTTTTTTAAAACAAGCTCATCAAAATTTTTCCTCCTTTCCTTTTTTTCTTCATTTCTCTCATACTAAACATATCCTAAAGGTTTCAGTGGAGGGGAAAAAAAAAAAGAAGGACTGGGAGCAAAGGAGGAGACGTGAATTCATGACATGATGGTATGCTGATACCGTATCAGTGCTGCGATCAACTTGGCGTCTGTTTCAAGTTAAAAGCTTATCCATAATTAATGTCACGTGGATGTGAACTCTAGCCATGTGAAGCTTGATAATTGACACGCACCGACACTAATGTGTGGCGTGTTTGCTGCTGGGTAAAAACACTTAAAATATTTTCACCCAAGTGAAACAAAACTTATTTCACATATTCGTTTTAAATATTATAAAATCACTTCTATAAAATTAATCCAAACACCCCACAGAATGATGAATATTCTTTTTTTTTTTTTGTAAAGACTGATGATAATTCTATTCATATAAAGTTTGACACATCACATATATTAATCCTAGTTTATAATGTATTACAAATTAAAATTTTATATTTAGGATTGAAGGTAATATTATTTCTTTCTCTATTTTTGTGTTAATGGGTTTCCCAACACTTGGTACATTTTTTTTTTATACTTATTGTTTTTGACTTCATTATAATTCAATCTCTAAATGTTAACTCGGTACAGTTAAATCTTTAAACTTAATTTAGCTCAATTGTAACTCAATTTTTTCACTTTAACTCGATGCAACTCAATTTCTATATTTTTATTTGATAAACATTGTGTTACAATCAAGTCAAAATTATAAGGACTAAATTACAACTAAGTTAAAAATATAAGAACCGAGAATTCCCCAAATTTTATATCATCGTAGTTAATTTATATTATAAACAAATTTTCGTTTTGATTGTGCTTCATTTTTAATGAGTGCAAATCTAAAATAAAAATAAATTTATAATTTTCATTTTAAAAAAAATTTCTTTGGAAGATAAGAAGAAAAGAACTCGAAAATTGTACAATCATAAATTATGAATTTACATAAAAATGTGTTGTTATTTACAAATCAAATATAATTAAAACCTGTTAAATGATAAAAAAAATAATTCTAATTTAAGATTTAGTAATTTTTATCATATTCTTGCGTCATTTTCTCATTTATCGTTTAGCATGTCATTTTTTTTTTTGATGTTGATGGTGCCAAATTAAATTTAAATAATTTAAACACAATGCGGACTGATCAATGTCAATATCAAAAAAAAAAAAAAAACCTTACCATTAAAGAAGGTGCAATTTGATGGCATCACTGATACGGTAACAGCATCAAGTCATAATTTAAACACAACGAAATTGAGCATTAATTACGCTTTTGATCATATAGCATGTTAGTTAAGTTGGAAAAAAAAAGATGCTAGTTAAGCTTTCTTATAAACTAAAATGCTCTATTAATTAAATCATTAAGAAATTGATAAATATGTTTTAAATTAATAACAATTTCTTATTTTACTCTCATTAAAAAATTTAATTGGAAAATTCTCTACTCTCCCTCACTTTTTTTTCCCAATATCCTCTCTCCCCCATTTAAAACTCTGTAATAGCCCCAAAAGAAAGTAATAAACATAGAAAAAAAATAGTAAGTATAATAATATAATGTTATTAATAATTTAATATTTTAATTATTGATTGTAATTCGTAAGAAACTTGTGGCTTGGTGATATTAGAAGCTATGAAGGGTGCCAGAGGTTCCAAGCACGAATCCATCCTGTTTCAAAATCCAAGTTTTATTTTGCCTTTTTCACATTGTGGATTATCTTAATGCCCTTCTGGGGCGGGGGGGGGGGGGGAGACTCCTATTAGATTTTTATTCTATTCTGATCTTGTTTACGGAGGGAGGAAGTCTCTAGATCTTTGGAGAGTTGAAACCCATCACCACTCGTTCTTTCTGTTTTTCCTTGGCCGTTGCCGGTATGTGTGCCAATGACCATCATCATCATATTACCCCCTTCACTCAAGGCCTTGGGTTGCTGCATATCTTTCTCCTTCCCTGTTCGGTGTTCAGGTTTTCTCCCTTCATCGACGCTGTCTGCAACGGATTCGGGGAGAGGAGTAATCCGTGGTTGATTCTTCTTTGCTGGCTGAGGTTATGGTGTACGATTGAAGTGGGGTGCTTTCGATCGTGCGAACTCCCGTTCTTCCCCGGTGTTTCCTCCTCTGGTTCTTCTGGGTTTCTTGTTCCTTTAGTTGCTGCTGCTGCTGTGCTTGATTAAGGGAGTCTTCTCTATCGTCTTCTGCTCCATATGCTTGAGAGAACACTACTCTTTGGGTAAGTTGGAAACTCTTTCCTCTCCCCGGAATTTGCAACTGTCATGGTGGGTTTGGAATGTGTTGAGCTTCAATAATTAATTGAAGTTGAGTTGTTGTGGCCTGTGCGTGATGTAGAAAGGGATGATGGGATCTTAAGCGAATAAAACTTGGAAATTGAGATGATTGATGACCTTGTTTGATTATGATTGCACACAATGTGTGTTAGAATGTCTAAGAGAAAATGGATTATATAAATGGGTATTTTATAATACTTGGCTGGAAAATTTTTTTGAGCATGAGATTGATTTAGTGCTACTTATTGTGATTTGTATGATGAAATCGGTAAAACAATAGACTTCAGGAAATTTCATTGGATTATAAGGGTTGCTTGGAGGCTACGGTTATTAACTTGTGAATTAAGATGCTTGCTTTGCATGAAATGATTTTAAGATCCCCTAAGGTGTTCGATAAATTGTTTCAAAGGAAAAGAGTTCATTTAGATATGTGATTACACGCTATTTTGATAGTGGAGGGTAATTTAAATATCATTTTGGATTGATTATGATTTATATTTTGGTTTCTATGGGATGCTTGAAGAAAGCAAGAGTTATTTGCTCCTCTACACAAAAAAGAAAAAATGGATGTTATGGAGTTTTATGTTATTAGTAGGAAGGAAATTAATTTATAATTTAAATGCTAAGCTTGCTAGTTGTCAATGTCATACCACCATTTGGATACCTACGAAATGGTTGTGTTTTCTGAGGCTACTTGAAATTATTGATAAATAATTTAGAGAATATAAGTTTAAGTTAGAACAAGAAAAGATTGATTATAAGGTTTGAGCATGAGTTAATGGATATACTTCTTTTCCAGAAAAAATTAGTTTTATAAATAAGTAAAGAAATGAAAATGGTTTTTGTTTTGAGATATGTTGAAGTATGGATGGGATGCAACATAGAAGGGAATAATCCTATTAAATGATATGTTATAGGAATTTTATATAAACCATAAATTGGAATATCGATATTTTTGTGTTTTGGGACCTCAGGGTAGCGAGAATTGACTATATTACCGAAATAAATAAAAGTAAGTTATACTTTTGGAGTGCAAGAAGTGCGTGAATAGTGACCCATAATAATTGTTTCAATAGCATTTTATTTTATTTGTTATACTTTTGAGTTTTCTTAAGCATTATCTTTGACTTGCTATTATTTATTTTTCTTTAATTGTTTCATAGTATAACTCATTATCATTTAATGGAATTGACAAGAAAAGCTTTGAGATTTGCTTTGTAAACTTTCAGATAGATATGGTTTATATATTTTGAAAATGTCCCTATATGATTTTTTTGAAAATGTTCCTATTCTTTGACTGAGAGCATTTGAAAGAAAAGTTTTGAAAATATTATTTGCAAACTTTCATTTTGGGATCATTTGTTATAGAATATTCTTTGAGATTTTATTATCAGAAAAAAGATATTTTCTGTTTTGTTTTTATGGTAAATTGATCCCATGCATACTTGTACATATCTTTGTGGGGACTGCACACAAAACGCTGGTTGCTAACAGCAGTACTATTAGTTCTTGGCACGCCATGGTTAATATCAAGCTCACTTGTTATTCGTGGTTTCGGCTGGGCTTGTTATTCATGGCTTTGGCTACGCTTGTATTCGTCATTTTGGTTGTGCTTATGTAGTGCGCCTAGTTTCGAGCTCGCTTGATATACATGGGCATCATTCCTACACTTGCATTCGTGGCTTTAGCCGCATTTGTTGGTTACTTGCCCTCGTGAACTATGTGTCCACACTTTTTACTTGTTTTGTTGAAAGTCCTCACTCCAAAAAGGGTTTTTCACACTATTTTACGATTTAATTTCATAAATAAGTCATTTAGTTAATTTTATATATTAAAAGTGTTATATATATTTACGTTTTAATGATTTCTTTCAGAAATTAAAGT